TGTGTGTGTGTGTGTGTAGTGTGTGTGTGTGTATGTGTGTGTGTATAGTGTGTGTGTGTGTGTGTGACCCCAGAAACAAGCATAGTTAAGCCACTTGTAGTTAATTTATTGAAGGAAAAAAGAAAAACAAACAAACAAAAAAAATGTCGGGATGATTTTTTAAGCTAGGCTTTTATTGAAAAATATTTTGTAAATATTAATATAAATACGATGTAGTTTCTTTTTTTAATGTTTCCTGACTCCAGTGCACGCCATGTATTTCATGAATGATCTGCTGTATATAATCCATAAAAATGACAAAATAAAGAGTGAAAATAGAGAGCTTCTCCAGCCCCATCTCCTATCAGACGCATCACATTCACATGTTGTTTTAGTTTCGCTAAGATGCTGTTATAATCTGTCAATACTTTGGTTTTATTTTTATATAATTTTTTTTTGCTTTCGTGTTCATTTTATTTAAGGTTTTAGTAATTTTTTTTTATATTTTATTTTATTTTCAGTTAATAGTTCATTTCAAGGTATTTTTTATGTTATTAGTTTTAGATAACTATTCATCTTGGCAGGAACCCAGAAGCTCGGAATATTCACACGATTCAGCAATTCTTTCACAATTTGTATTTTGCTTTTGGATTTAAACAAGAAAAACCTTGCAAATGTCTCAATGTCACACTTTACATTCAAAGACCAACCGTAAGGTGCTTGATACTTAAAAAAAAGTCAATAGATGGACAAATATAGTACATAGTGAAGTTTTGAAAGTAACTTCATAAAACTTGCTACTGTCTGATTAAAAAAAAAGGTCTTAGGAAAATATCTGAGACACAACACAACAGAATTGTATTTCCTTTACTGAACATTAGATTTGAATTTTTATTCAATAGAAAAAAGGAAAAACAAAAACACATTAAAGGGACAGAAACTCAAACACAATATTAACTTACAACAACACAGAGTTAAACAGTTAATAATATTCAAAGGATTATAATTATGAATGATGGGTGAGAAACGTATAATGTTAAAACTTAATACACAAAACAATTATGCAAGAACTTATACATGCATTTGAGGAGAAACGCCCCAATTATAATAAAGTTAAAGACACTGTTAAATAAAACAAACAGTTTTCCTGCTGTAAGAATCCAAAGAGAAAGACTACAGCTGTGTTTCCACGGAGTGATTCATTACAGGACGAGGTAAAACTCTGAAAGCTTTCCAAACTGAAGCTCATCTGAAACAAGACCGACGTCTGGAAACTCAAGACACAAACACTGAATCCGACAGCAAGATGCGATTTCATCCCGAACTCATCGAAAAAACGACGAACGAATCAGACTGCATCTGAATCGGAACCATATTGAATGAACGAACAGACAAAGATTCACATCTCAAATGAAGCGCTGATCATCCAGAGCCACCTGCTGATGAGATCAGAGTGTGTGTGTGTGAGAGTGTGTGTGTGTGTGTGTGAGTGTGTGCATGTGTGAGTGTGTGTGTGTGTGTGAGTGTGTGTGTGTGTGTGTGTGTGTGAGAGAGTGTGTGTGTGAGTGTGTGTGTGCATCCAACAAACTGATTGATTTCGTACAAACGAAGGCAGAGAAACAAACGCAAACGTATAAACACAGTGAGCTGCTGATTTTGGCTTTTCCCTTTCCTTTAAAGTCATAAAACATGCAAGAAAAACAAACTGTTCGTAATTAACACTTCAGTCACCAAAGGTGAGGAATGTTCCGATGACGTCACTTCCTCCCGACACAGATGACAGGAAGTTGAGGGTGGGGCTGTAGTGACACATCCTTTTTGACATGTTTAAATAATATTATGAACTAAAATGACCAGCTTTATTACATCGGATTAAATTAAAACCACTTTCTCTACCAGTGCAAAGTTTCTCTCGTTCAGTCCGGTCTGGATCTCATTTCTGCTGCTGCTGTTGCTTTAAGCTGGCCAACAGTATTTTCTTGTGGGCGGGGTCATGAATTCCCGCCTCCTCCAGATCCTCCTCTGTAATGTCACTGCAGGAAAGAGACATGATTGGATGAGAAGCTTGTACTCTGAAATCTAACTAAAAATATATTCATGAAAATTCTAATCACAATCAAGTGTGATTGGATCTTCCTGAGCAGCGCTGAGAAAAAAATGACAGTAAAAAGTAACCTGCTAAAAAATAATATAAATAACTGATAATATTTTAGATACCTACATGATTTACAAAATTTGTCAATGTTTTGTCATACTTTTTGCAAATTACACCTTTTATATGTTTAATTATAAAAACTAAATCATATCATATATTACTACAGTAATAATACTACTAACCCTACTGTATGGTAAAAAATATTTAATAACTTGTTAAAAAACTGAACAACAGTACAATTTCAACTCTAAAATGTATGGTTGTGTTAATTTCTTTGTTTTAAACGTTAAACCATAGAACTTTAATTTGATGTTAAACCAAATGACACTGATAAACTTTAATAAACATTCAATTAAAATTACAGAACAGGAACATTTCTAAAAATAGTATAAATAATAGTGCTGTCAAATGATTAATCGCGATTAATCGCATCCAAATAAAAGTTGTTTTATGTAATATACAGTATGTGTGTGTACTGTGTTTTTATTATGCATATATAAATACACACACATACAGTATATATTTTGAAAATATTTACATGTAATTACATGTATATATTTATATAATTTATATTCTATATAAATATATTTAATATACACATATAACATATTTTTCTTAAATATATACATGCATGCGTTTGTATTTATATATACATATTAAATATACACAGTACACACACATATTATGTAAACAACAACTTTTATTTTGGATGCGATTAATCGTGATTAATCGTTTGACAGCACTAGTAAATAACTAAAAAAAAAATTGATCAAAAATAATTTTGAATAATTTAAAATGATAGTACTAAACTTATGTCTTAACGGTTTTGCTTTCAAACATTAACAGTTTATTAATAATAATTAATAAGAATAATGGCACTGAAAAACTTTAATAGACATTAAATTAAAAATATGCAACATGAAACCTTCTGAAAACAGGAGAAATAACTAATAACTAAAATTAAATGCCTACTGTACATGTACTGTACATGACTACATTTGTCACCCTGGACCACAAAACCCAATTTTTTTGAAATTGAGATTTATGCATAATCTGAAAGCTGAATAAATAAGCTTTCCATTGATGTATGGTTTGTTAGGATCGGACAATATTTGGCCGAGATACAACTATTTGAAAATCTGGAATCTGAGGGTGCAAAAAAATCTAAATATTGAGAAAATCATCTTTAAAGTTGTTCAAATGAAGTTCTTAGCAATGCATATTACTAATCGAAAATTAAATTTATATATATTTATGGTAGGAAATTTACAAAATATCTTCATGGAATATGATCTTTACTTAATATCCTAATGATTTTTGGCATAAAAGAAAAATAGATCATTTTGACCCATACAATGTATTGTTGGTTATTGCTACAAATATACCTATGCTACTTGTCCCATCCCAAACCTCTTTGTGGTTTCGGGGATTAACTACGGTTACCCTCCGGGGCTAAACCATAGGCTAAGGTCTCAACCATTCGTGGTTGAGCCCAGGGAGGGTCGAGGGAAAGATCTGGCCACCTACCCTCGTGTTATGGTCAAAAAACTTAATGGGAATGCAAACAACTACGTCTTCAAATATGGCATGGGACAGTGGACCCTCCAGGCTGGACGGTGTCCAAAATGCGACTGGAGAAGAGCAAGGACATGCTTCCAGTAGACCAGCTACTTATGACATCGTTGAGACAAATCCTCCTGGACGCTCAACTGCTGACGCCAGCAGGATCGAACAGAACTGCCTGCGCTGCACCAGACCAATGAAAATTGGCACATGGAATGTACGTGATATGGACCTTGGAAAATTACAGATTGTCAAAAATGAAATGGTCCGACTGAAGATCGACATCCTGGGGATAAGTGAACTCCATTGGATAGGAAGGGGCTATTTCCAATCAGGGGCCACACCATCTATCACTCAGGAAATGATACCATCCGGAGGAATGGTGTGGCCTTCATTACCAGCAAGAAAGTCAGCAGATCAGTGGAAAGTTATCGAACAATTAACGACAAGCTGATCGCCATCCAAATTCGAGGTAAGCCACTAAACATCACCATCTTGCAGGTTTATGCCCCAACAGCTCCAACATCCCCAGACAGCAACTAGTTTCGACCAAGATCCGGCCCACATCTGGCCCGCGTGGATGTGGGCTGGATCTGGGCCAACACTATGTTGCTGTCTGGGTCAGCAATAGACGAAGCCATCATTGAAGAATTCTATGCTGAAGTTCAAAAAGCAATGGACCAGACACCAAAAAAGGACATTATCTACGTGATTGGAGATTTCAACGCCAAAGTGGGAAGCCATGCCGAATCTCACGTTATAGGCAACTGCGGCTTGGGCGAGCGGAACGCAGCCGGAGATCGTTTAGTCCAATTTTGTCATGAGAACCAGCTATGGATTACCAACACTGGTTTTAAGCAACCAAAACGGCGTCTCTACATCTGGCTAGCACCAGATGGGATACATCGGAACCAGCCGATTGGTTGGTTCCCCGGAGCCGATTGCATGACTGACCATCAGCTACTGATAATGAAAGCCAAGCTCAGGTGGGACAGGATCAAACGGGACATCGCCACACCGAGATTCCAAGTGGACAAGATGTCACCTCTGTACGCTATCGAAGTGAAGAACAGATTCGACACACTCGCCCTCAAAGAACAACAGCCAGATTAACTGTGGAAAGATATCGCGACTAATATCATTGAAATCGCACAACAGCATGTTCCATATGCGAAGCCCACAAAATGGAATAATTGGCTGGCAGAAGAAACCATCAAAATAGCCAAAACAAGGAGGCAGGCCAAGGCGAGAGAAGATAGAGATGAGACTAGACAGCTAAATGCGGAACTTCAACGTGCGGCCAGGAAAGATAAGGAAGAATATTGGAATAAGCGATGCAAGGAATTGGAAGAGGACAATAAGAAAGGACACACCCGTGCCCTATTCGCCCAACTGAAGCGGATGCGGACGCCCTACACTGCCTGGCAAGGAACAGTTAAAGGCGCCAATGGCGAAGTATTGCACAACCAATAATCCGTCAAGAACAGGTGGAAAGAGCACAGAGGTCTGTATGCGAATCCAAGCCAACAAGTACAACAGCACCCTTGTACCAACATTGAACCTGATATCCTGGAGGAAGAAGTCGCATGGGCACTTAGACAACTGCCGAACAGGAAAGCCCCTGGAATCGATGGAATTCCATCAGAGATGCTGAAAGCAGTGCCGATCCCAGCACTCACTGTGCCACGCCATCTGGAAAGGCTGTAAATGGCCAAAAGACTGGAAGCGGTCGTTGTTCATCCCGATTCCAAAAAAAGGAGACACAAGCAACTGCTTCAATTATCGCACCATCACCCTGATATCACACACCAGCAAGATCTTATTGAAGATCATCCAATAGCAGCTGGGGAAATTTTTGGAAGTGAAACTACCTGATACTCAGGCAGGTTTCAGGAAGGAAAGAGGCACCCGCGATCAAATTTCCAATTTCCAATGGATTATGGAGACATGCAGAGAGTACCAGAAGGACATCTATATATGCTTCATTGATTACAGCAAAGCGTTCGACTGTGTTGAACACAACAAGCTGTGGACTGCACTGGAAGAACTAGGCATCCCACTGCATTTGATCTTGCTGATATGATGGTTGTACACAGACCAGAAGGCAACTGTCACAGCATACGGTAATACAGAATGGTTCGAAATTGGCAAAGGAGTACGACAGGGCTGCATCTTATCACCTCTTCTATTCAACTTGTACGCGGAAACCATCATGAGAAAGCTTGACCTGGACGAGTCAATCATCGGAGTTAAAATTGGTGGCCGGAATATCAACAATCTGAGATATGCAGATGATACCACCCTGCTCGCGGAAAGCATCCAGGATCTGGAAGAACTGATCCGCAGAGTGAAGGAGGAAAGTGAACGGTTGGGCCTGTATTTGAATGTCAAGAAAACGGGCAACGGGCAAGTCCACATTGCGATCGATGGTGAGGAAATCGAATTAGTCAAAGATTTTATCTACCTTTGATCAATGATTGAACAGGACGGAGGCTGCACATCTGAAATCAAGCGGAGGATTGCACTGGGTCGCGGCACAATGGCGGACATGACCAAGATCTGGCAAAACAAAGATATTAGCCTCTCCATGAAGTGCAGAATTGTCCAGGCCATCGTGTTCCCCATCACCATATATATAAGTTGGACAATGAAAATCGCTGGCAAAAGATGGATTGATGCGTTCGAATTCTGGTGTTGGAGAAGGCTGCTGCGAATTCCTTGGATGGCGATAAAAACCAATGTGGAAGTCCTAAATCGAATCAAGCCAGATATGTCGCTTGAAGCCAAAATTACTATGCAACAGTTAACATTCTTTGGACATGTTATGCGAGCCGATTCGTTATTGGAAAAATCTACCATGCTGGGACTGGTCAGCGAAACACGCAGGAGAGGCCGCCCAAGGATGGCTGGCTGGATACCATCAATGAGCGACAATGAGCGACATCAAGGAAGCGGTAAAAGACAGAAGGACGTGAAGTAGCCAAGAGTCGGACAGGACTAAATGGCTAGAAGAAGAACTTATGACTGGTTTTCTGCTCCAGGGTCACATTTGTCAAAGAAAGTCATCTAGAGTTTGAGCCAACACAGGTGTGAGAGCTTTGGCCTTTAACCCATGCGTGACTGTGACGGCATGCAGACAGGTGTGTGTTTGCACCTGAGGAACTCCAGGTCGTCCCAGCCGTTGTGCAGCAGTCCCTCCTCGTAATGCTGCAGACCGAGCTTCTGGAGCCACTCACCGACACTGCACTCCACCGACAGACTGCTGCTGCTGCTCTCGTCATGCCACAGACCCTGCCACAACAACAATAATAATAACAATCAACATTTATTAATACAGATTATTTTATATTAATAGTATAATGACTAACAAAACAAATTAATTATTGTTATATTTTATAGTCATTTATAGTCACATAATAATCATGCATTATTATTTTCTGTTTTTCTTATATTAGTATTACATTCCATCTCTACCATGTATTTCCTATGTATGTCTGCATGTATGTATGTCCATACTTTCTTCTGAACCGGAAGCTCCTGTTGTCAAGTCAAATTCCTTGTGCGTGTAAACATACTTGGTAATAAAGCTCTTTCTGACTTCTGACATTTCTAATGTTATTAAAAATATTTAATTAATAATAATTATTATTAAATTTATTAATCTAAAGTAATATCCATTAATAATTATTAATAATTACTAATTAATAATAATTTCATTATTAATTATTGTTATCATTATTAACAATATAATTATCAATATTATTAACAATAAAATGTATTATTATCATCATAATTTAAATAATTGATATGAAATTATAAATAATTATTATTAATTACTAATTGTTAATATTAATAACACTTAGTAACAAAATAATAATAATTATTAGCAACATTTAAATATTTTAATTAAATTATAAAATTAATAAATATAAAATATTAGAATAACAAATTTAAAAAATTTAAATAATAAAATACTATTATTATTAATTATTGTTGCTATTATTATTAACAATGTAATAAATCTTATTTTATATTAATAAATATTATTATTAATAATTGTTAATTGCCATTATTAATAATACATAAAATATTATTATTATTGTTATTAACAAAATAAAAAATAATTCTTATTTTTTATTTTTATTATTATTCTTTTATATATTTTAACATTATAAAATTAATAAATATAAGTAAAAATATTTATATTTACTTATTAAATTTAAGAATAAAAATTAAATAAAATATTCCAAGACACAGGCTGCTTCAAGACACTGAAAACACTGGATCCTGAGCTGCTCGTGTGTAAATGAACACAGTGCGTGTGTATTTTTGCGTCACCTCCTCGGGCAGGTCTTCTGCGATGCTCTCCTCCTGTATGGAGTGCGGAGGGAAGGTCAGGCCTCTGATGTGAGGAGCGCTCGTCTTCAAGACACCTCTCCCCGACGGATACTCTACTTCACTCAGAGTCTTGGCCATCTGCAGCACTGAACACGACTGGTCGTCCAGTCCCGAGGCCCCGCCTCCTCGCCGGAAAGGGGCGGAGTTTGGGTTCAGCGTGGGCGGAGCATCCAGACTGAAGGCCACGCCCCCTCCACCAGAGGGCGGTACGAAGCCGAGCGACGACAGCGGATTGGACGGAACCACAGACAGGGGCGGGATCTTGATGTCGGTGAGTTTTTGTGGTTTTCTGAACGAGTTCTCTGCCGTCTCCAGAGCTCCTTTGGGCAGCGGAGGAGGAGGGAAATCCGGCGGGGGACGATTTAGAGACCCGATGTTCCCATCATCCTCCAAAGACCCTTCCTCGCTGATGGGCTGAACCGGGCGTCCAGACGTCTGCCTTCGACCTGGTGCAGAACTTCCACTGGGCGGCTTGTTTTTCCCCACACCGCCTGCAGGAGGAGCTGTTTTATTGGCTAGCGGAGGGAGGGCGGAGCTCGGGAGCATGTCAGAGGCCAGAGCAGCGGATTGGTTGGGAACGCCTTCTAGAATGTAGTAGGCGGGGTTATTGAAGCTGTTTTTGCACGTCGTGGCGTCGCCCTCGAACGGATCCTTTTTACCTCTGTCAGAACGAAACAACAGACGGGATTTCACAAGAATTCACTGCTGAGCTGTATGTCAAAACAAAAGTTATTATTGTTAACTAAAGCTAAATCTAAACCATCAAAAACACATTCTAAAACATATTCATTACTCATTACCAAGGCAACATTTCTAATTGTTGTTAAACTTGAAGTACTAAAATGACCACAGCTAAAAAAAAACAAAAACACCTGCAATAAAATAAATGGTAAATTAAATTAAATACAATATAAAAAAAACTTAAACTTATTTTCTGTCAGCTAGTTGCCAATGCAATATTTCCTATGTTCGGTTAACTTGAAGTACTAAGATAACTAAAACTTAATCTTAAATTAATAAAACTGTACAGACATATTTTGGAAAAAAACAAAACAATAACAACAACAACAAAAACCTTGAAATAACGTGTTAACCAAATTATTATTATTTAATTTGGTTAAGACAAGTTATTTCAAGATTTATATATTTTTTTTGCAAAATATGTCTGTACAGTTTTTATTTATTTCAGATTAAGCTTTAGTAATCTGAAATAAGTAAATTTAGTAATGATGATAAAGATAAATGAAAATAATAATATAAAATTAATAATAATAAAAAAAATGACTATTTATTTAATTAATATATATAAATAACTAATAAAAATGACAAAAACATACAACAAGTACAAACCAATTAAAATACTAATATTAATAAATAAAATAAATATCAATCATACTACAATAAAACTAGTGTGTGTGTGTGTGTGTGTGTGTGTTCACCTGTTCTGTGCACTCTCCTCTTTGCAGGAGTGTGTGTCTGTGTGTATGTTTCTCTCTGTGTGTGTGTGTGTGTGTGTGTGTGTGTGAGAGTGTCTGTGTGTGTCTCTGTGT